TACGCTGGACTGGACGGATTGAGGAAGCCAAACGATCGGGTTTCGAACGTTGGAAATGGCGCCAGGCCACGTCCCGAATGGAGGACGAACGGATAAGTATTATCGGAGACATATAAGATACTGAGAATTCCGGCACTGGTGAAAATAATGCCTTCGAAGAAGCCCGCCGCTGGCGATCTACCGAGAACGTTTACCGCTTACCGTTTACCTCGAAGCGAAAGAAGATAGGCCTCGCTCGCGCAAAGGCAGCGCGTGGATCTCGAGATCATTGTTAGTTGGCTCGCGTACGTTGGCATTATTTAGCTTCTAGGAACGAAAGCAATCGCGTTACGTGGTAGACGCGTCGTTAGATCGCCGAACGTCGAGCGGAGCCATTACCAAGTACACACCGCGTTTATACTCACTTTGGATCCTTGACCATCAGCTTGCGCATGAGATCGCGCGCCTCCTCGGACACGTCCTCGAACAGGTCGTCGGGAAAATCTAGGCGACATCGGCTAATGTTGCAGAACGTTTCCTGCTTGGTGTCGCCACCGAACGGGGAGCATCCCGTTAGCAGCACGTACAGCAGCACTCCGATGGACCACATGTCCGTAGCCAGGCTGATCGGCTCGTAGTTCAACACCTCTGGGGCTGAAACGGGCACGGAACGCGGCTTGAGGCTTAGGAAGGAGACGCGCGTAACGAGCAGCCAGGTCGTGGGAATCGGTTAGGCTGAACAGAGACCGTTAGAAGTGTACACTCGTAACTCACCAACATAATCGGGCGTGCCCAGAATCTCCCGGATGTCCGCGCCATGGCTGATGTACCGCGAGATACCAAAGTCGCAGAGCTTGACGTCGCAGTCGGGGAACTCGCCGGTAAGAACGAGATTTTGAGGCTGAAAACGAAAATGGAGAAAGCGAGTTAAAGAGAGAGATCCTCGGTCCGCACCGTACCCCGTGAAGCAGAGACAAAAGGGCTCGTTATTTTCTTTCGTCGTGGCGTATAATTGCCCGCAGCTCGCGAGCGCCCGGAAAGAACACGAAACGATCATATTTTAGCCCGAAGCGTCTCGATGCGATCTCTGCTCCAGTCTAAGCAGCTCCCCAAGGGCTAACATTGTTTCATATTTTACCGGCGACATTTACAGCAAGAATAAATTATTTCGAGCGATCTTGTCGTCGCAATTATCAAGTGGCCAGCAGCGCAAGAGGAGCGTGTTCCCGGCAAACACGGTGGCAGCCGTTGCGGGCAACATGCATCGGGCCAGTTTTTTCCACGAGCTGAACCAGGGTTTCACCGATCATTACATGCCCCGTGCCTACGCCACGCCACTTAATTAAACCTACCTATTTAATAAACGACGATTCATCGGCGCGTTCGTCACGTAATCGAGGCAATTAATCGTTCGGGGAGCGCGTGTATCGGCAATTTTTTCTCCCGCGCGACCACTTTTTCTACCTACGGCGAGAAGAAGGGGATGGCGAAAACGACAGTTGCTCCGGTAGATATTGGAAGAATCGTAGCTAGTTTCACGGGGGGCGTAAGCGCGGTGGAGAATGGATTGGCAAGGTGCGTTTTTCTCGCGAATGCTCGCGTTACAAGAGCGTGGTTAGCGATCGTTAAGCGTCCCAACGGGTACGCGCAGTGGCACTTAATTAAAAGTATTGAATAAACGGTAATTCCGTGGCCGGTCGGCCAGGTAATCGGTGCAATTAATCGCGACACTCGAGCGGCTCGTTCACGTGGCCATTTAATAAACTGCTCGATAATGACGCCCTTTCGGACCGTACCGCGGTGGAACGTCGCTCTACCTAGGAGGTCGTAAACCGGTCGTGCAACGTTGACAATAGACCAGCAACGAACTTTCGTCCCTCTCTGTCTAGTCCACGCTGTGTCCCTCTGCACACAGCGGCGAAGCATTGTTCGATTGTTTCGAGAAGAAAGAGTTCTCGAGTAGCGGAGGAGGAGGGGGAGGAGGAGATGGAAAAAAGGATCGAGAAAGGGGCATGAATCGCGCGGCTAGGCCGCGCCACGACCTTTCTTATCGGCGATCATTCTGCATCCGCGTATCGAGTCTTCAGGTCGAACCCCGTTCGAACGGGACGCCTACACGTCCTCTCTCGCGATTTGAACGCCCACGTTTTCGATCTGGCGAGAAAATCACGTTGGTGGAATTCGTTCACCGGTTTTATACACTATGCGCGACGCGAGAAGTTTCTTACAATTAGACACGTGACTCCGCGTTCTCGGCATAAACACCCGGTTGGCAGGCAGGCAGGCAGGCACGTAGGCAACGGTAACAAATTGACACCCGCGGCGAAGCGTTTAAGGAAAAGCCCCTGTGTTCTGTCCTGTCCGCTCGAGTCATATCGTCTGCTTGTCGCTCCACGAAACGGCATCTTTCGCAAACAAGAGCAAATCCAGACGGTTGCAAAAGTCTCGAACGTCTCGCCCGAGGAAATACCCCGGTGTGGTGTTCACCTTCAAAATTTCGATCGAGAACCGCGATAGAACGAAGGAGGGGAGAGAGAGAGAGAGAGGAGGAGGAACGGTGGCGTGCTGGCTCGTTCCGCTCGAGGATTCAGTTTGTGCGTTACGTTTCGTTATACCGAGTTACGAGTCGAACGTGACCGGACTGCATCGCGAGACGCTCGACGAATAACGCTTCTGACACAAAAGTGCTCCCGTAAAGTCGAGGTCGAGAGACGTGTTTTGTTCGCATGGCCCCTTTTGCTTTCGAGCCTCGATTCGACCTCGTCCAACGGAAAACGCTACCCTTCCACTTTTCGCCTCTTTCCTTTCAATTTTTCAAACTTTGCACGCAGTCGCGCGATTCTCCTCGGCAACGTGGACGAGCGCTCCATCCCAGTCCCGGAAGTCGTTCAATAAGGAACAAAGACATTTCCATAATTAGCCATTACGAAGTTCCTCTGACGCGAACGCGGTGTAGGCGGCCGCGATCGATTACCGCGAATATTACAATATAATCGTTTCCTCGTCCAACTCCACGCGCGCCGATAGCTTAGGATCGAAACGCTCCGTCGTCTTACA